CTAAATAAAATACAGAACTAGCACCTGAATGTCTACCGATGCTAAAGTATTCTCTGATTACAGATTGCGGACCACATATCACATCATCAAAAATTATAATAGAATTTTTCTTAGTCAAGTTTGGTTTTATAACTTTTTCAGCACTTGTAAATATGAAAAAATTAGCACCTTGTATATCATCTATTATTTTTTTTAATAAAACATATTTTTCCTGATTTGAAGTCTTAGAGTATAAATAAATATTTTCAAATCTTAACCCATTTTCATGTGTAATCAGATTATACATTATATTTGTTTTTCCCGAACCGCTGGGACCAACTAGTATGGCACGTATAGTATCGGGTAATAACGAACCGTGTCTTGACAGTTTTTTTACTATCTGAGCATCTACATTTATAACATCTAATTTATCTTTCTGTTCAATCAAATCCATTTTTCTTATAAATACTCTATAATTTTCAATTTACAATCAGTTATAGATAACGCGTTCAACTCGTAAGTATAAATCAGTCAAGACTGATAAAGCATTTTATAAACTTCCCTATAAATACTAATGAAAGATAAAAGAAAAATAGATATGGGTTGTAAAAGTAAACGGAAACGTACCATAAAAAGAAATGGTATACTAGCAGCGAAGAAAAGAAGAACGTTAAAGAAAAAGAATGGTGGAAAGAGACTGATTTTAACACCAGGACAGTCAGGAGGTGTAATTCCCTTAGTACCTATATTTGCAGGATTGTCAGCACTTGGTAGTTTGATGTCTGGAGGTGCTAGTATGTATAATGCGGTTCAAAATTCAAAAAGAAAAAAAGGCAGTGGTTTGAAATCAAACAAGAATAGGTTAAGAATAAAAAACTGATGATCACGCTACCTGACAGACCGCTTTCGTCTCAAGATATTATAAAATATGTTGAAAAGTTTAAAATCAATCATTTCCGTGGAGTCTTTTCACGTGATAACTTACCTAAAAACCCGCATACGATTGAATGTGGTATATTAAACTTAGATATATCTTCAGGCAACGGAAGTCATTGGGTAGCGTTTTATAAAAATAAGGAAAAAGTTGTATATTTTGATAGTTTTGGTGATTTACCACCACCAATTGAATTACAACATTATTTCAGACAATTCAAAATAGTATACAACTATTCTAACTATCAAGATTTCAATACGTTCAACTGTGGGCATTTATGCCTTGAATTTTTACAATGTATGAATCTATTACATTAAGTTTGACTGGGAATTCAACTATATTATCTACAAATTATTTTCCGACTCTAAACGTTTACGAGGATTCGGAAATAGCTTTGTTATGTTTAAAAACACTTAATTTATTTCCAAACATAAATTCAGCTAATAACCGACTGGAGATAGAAGTAATTCCTTCAACAATTAATAGATTTATCCTAAAAACGTTTATATTTATTTTGGAAGAAGGATGTTATGAAATTGTAGATATTAACAACAAAATTTCGAAAGAGTTATTCCACTTTAATAATGAATGTAGAACACAGCTAACATTTAACGTATCTATTGACCCCATCGATTTTAGAACATACATTAAATGTAATGGAATACTAAAGTTAAATATTCCAAACAGTATAGCATCTGTTTTTGGATTTGAAAAGAGAACCTATGAGCCAATGTATGAAGCTCATCGGTCGGGAAAAGCTGCTAATTTAAACACAATTAACTCTATAAAAGTAATGTGTAATATAGCATATGGATCATTCGACAACCAACTTCAAAGTCATTCAATATATGAGTTTTTCCCGAGTGGGAAAACAGGAACAAAGGTTATTCAATCTCCGCTAAACCTTATATATAACAGATTAAACAAAACAGCTATTGATTCAATAACTGTACAGTTAGTTGATCAAAACAATAATCCCATCGATAACTTTAATGAGACATTGACAGTTGTTCTGCATATTAAACGTCACGAGTATCATTATTAAATTTGTATCTCAGATATCAGGATGTACGAGTCAGTTACTTTTAGTTTAACCGGGAACACAACCATATTATCTGCAAATTATTTCCCGTCTATTAACCTTTACGAAGACTCAGAAATAGCATTGTTATGTTTGCAGACATTTAATTCATTCCCGAATATCAACAAAGAAAATAATAAATTTGCTATACAAGTATTTGACCGTAATAATAATATTAATATTAATAATAATGATTCCGATCATATGTGGTGTTATATTAAACTGGAAGAGGGGTGTTATGAAATTAAAGATATTAAGCAACGAGTTATGGAACAAATAAATATTTATAACAAACAATTCAAAACCAAGTTAACATTTGACATTTCGGTTGATTCTAACGACTTCAGATCATATATAAAATGCAATGGAATACTACACTTTGAGGTTTTACATAGCATAGCACCTGTATTAGGTTTTGAAAAACGAGAATATAAGCCAGATTATGAAACCCATAGATCGGAAAAAGCTGTGAATTTAAACACAATTAATTCTATAAAAGTAATGTGCAATATAGCTCAAGGATCATTCAACAACAATCTTCAAAGTCATTCGATTTATGAGTTTTTCCCTAGTGAAACGACAGGATCGAAAGTTGTACAGTCACCACCAAATTTAATATATTACAAATTGAATAAAACAAATATTGATACGATAACCGTTCAGTTAGTTGATCAAGATCATAATCCGATTGATAATTTTGGTGAGGCATTGACAATCGTGTTACATATTAAACGTTACGGGTCTTGAGATGGGGTTGAAATTCAATATAAACCCGCTACTTCGGATCAGCACAACTAGTCATAAGACTAAAGTGCTATCAGCAACATCAAATAAAGTAAAAAAATTAACGGTACAGAATAAAAAAATTTTACAAGCTTTGGGTTATCAATTAAAGCAGAATGCCTGAAAGTAATATTTTGGATATAACTTCACAGTACGAGACGGATTCTAAAATTACGAAAATTGAATATCATTCATACGCACCGTATACAACATCATTTAATAATAATGATGAAATACGTATATCAATCCAGCAAACGGATGTTTATCCATATCTACACGAAAGCTTTATTTTTTTTAGGAGGAACAATTACTGATGCTACCAAAGTGAAACTATCTAATAACGGTTACTCTTTCCTCTTCGAACAAATACGATTGGAAATCAATGGGATAGAAGTAGATAGCACACGTGTTCTTGGAATCACTAGCTCGTTGAAAGGTTACTTATCCTGTACACCAGACAACTATAATTGTTATGAAAATTCTGGTTGGAATTTTAAAAACGCAACGCAATCGGAAAATGAGAAAGGTGAATTTAGTGCTTGCATTCCATTGAAATATTGGTTAGGTTTGTTTGAAGACTATAAAAGAATATTGGTGAATTCTAGATTAGAATTAATATTAACTCGAAGTCATAGCGATTTAAATGCTTTAAGTTGTAAAACTGGTGCAACTGTTACTGAAGGTAAAGTCGTTTTAAACAAAATAGTCTGGAAGGTCCCACATATCAATGTTGACGATGAAGAAAGGTTAAAATTATTGAAACTTATAGAAAAAGAAAAAAGTCTATTTATCCCTTTTAGATCTTTTGAAACTTTTGAATATCCTGAACTCGGAACCACTAAAAAAGTTGTATGGAATTTGAAAACTGCTTCAAAATTAGAAAAACCACGATTTATCATAATTGGATTACAAAAAGGACTCAAAAATGTGTTAACGAAAGATTGTAGTATATTTGACCATTGTAATTTAACAAACGTTAAAGTATTTCTGAACTCTATAGCTTATCCATACGATAATTTGAATTTAGATTTTACTAAAAATAATTTCACCTTATTATATAATATGTATACATCGTTTCAAGAATCGTACTATGAAAAAAGTATTCGTAACCCGATATTGAGTCCTTCTACTTTTCTAACAAACGCTCCAATTATAGTCATCGATACTTCGAAACAGAACGATTCAGCCACAGCCTCAGCAGTGGATGTTCAAATGGAAATTGAAGCTTCAGATTCCCTTACAGGTGTAACTGCTTATTGTTTATTAATTCATGATCGTATTGTAGAATATGTACCTTTTACTACAGAAGGAAGAAAATTAGTGTAAATAATAAATCAAAATTGTATATATTTAATATTTGCTGTAAAATACTATTAACTGATTAAAAAATAAATATATAATAATAAGAAAAAAAAAATATTTTTTATTTATTTCAGAAAATTATATTAAAAACGGTTTTGAATTTTCTCTAGAAAATGTTAGGGAGATTGGTTACACTGTAAGGCATACATTCCTCCTTAAACTTTTTTCATCTCCCTGTAAAATTTAACTCAGAAGCCCCAACCCACCTTTTTAGAATTTTTACCTATACGGTGATCGAATGTGCTGCAAGGGGGACTTTCCTCCTTGAACTTTTTTCATCTCCCTGTAAAAAGTGACTCAGAAGCCCCAACCCACCTTTTTAGAATTTTTACCTATACGGTGATCGAATGTGCTGCAAGTGGGACTTTCCTCCTTGAACTTTTTTTTTTTCCCTGTAAAAAGTGACTCAGAAGCCCCAACCCACCTTTTTAGAATTTTTACCTATACGGTGATCGAATGTGCTGCAAGGGGGACTTTCCCCCTTGAACTTTTTTTTTTCCCTGTAAAAAGTGACTCAGAAGCCCCAAATTAATACTACTGACGAGAGTTCGATATTGAAACTGTTTGAACCGGAAGCGGACATCATCGTGGGTATTATCCACGAACACATAGTATACCCGTTGTTCATAGACGGTCCGATGTTTCGCGGTAAATGGTATGCGACGATCGATCATTTCAAAAACAACGGTTACAACGTCCTGTACAACTTGGGGCCGAGACAAAATCGGGGCGTGTATTTCGTCAACGAAAACCAATGCAACATTTACAAGATGATTTCGGAATGATAATAATAATAATTGTACAATGTAGTTCACGCAATAAAAAAATATAATAATGTACATCTGTGTATTTTTTTTGTTTTCACACGTCAAACTCTTCGTCGAAATCCTCATCGCATCCTTCGCTGAAATTATTTACACTTCGACCTTTTATGACGTAACAACAATATTTATGATTATAATCGTTGTCTCCGGTGTCGACTTCTTCGTCGCAAACGTCGTCGTCGTCGTAATTATTTTTATCGAAACTTCGATCTGAGGCGTTTGCACGATCGCAATTCGTAATTTTTTCAAAAGGGTTCGAAGTGTTTGCGGTGTGGGCATTTTGAGACCGTCTTATTTTTTTAATTTCTAAAATCGGAAATCTGTTTTTCATTTTTTTGTTTCGCGTCAAACCGGGTATATGTAAATATTGTTATTTATAAAATCTGCTTGGTGTTTACTGTTTTTAAACAAGGAATCGTTAAACTTTGGTACGAAAGCCGCCAGCCGATCGTGAGATTTTCCTATATTAGATATCAATTTTGCCAAAACCTTTGTTTTCAACACGGAGAGGTCAGCGTACGCGACTCTGTCCACAACTAAAACTATATCAACAGATATTCTAATTACAGAGCCCAATTCTCTGGGAGTTTTCGACGAAGCTATGGTGTTTGCGGTTTGCTCTATATCTATAAAATTACAGTGGTCGGGTAAAAATAATTCATTCGACGGCGTCCCTAATATCACGACGAGCAGTTTTTCGCCGCTCATAGTTACTAATCCACGACGGGGTCGTCCTCTTCGTCTATGTCTATATAGCTGTTTAATTTTTGGTTCAGAGTCGTATACATCGATCCCAATTGGTTAAACAGATCCATGTCGTTAACAGGCACGTGCGACATCGTTCGTTCCAATCTGATGAGCGTAAGTCTCAAATCACGGTCACTTTTATTCGGGTCGTTAACGATCTGTTTAAACTTCTCGACGACATACTCGTCAGAGTTTTTCAATATATCGACTATGTACGATCTAACCCCCGAGTAACTGGGCAAGTGTTTGGCGCAATTGCCGACAACTCTGTTTACAAAATTTGCAGTAATCGTGTTGTACACAAAGTATTGCGACAATACTCGTAGAATATTTTTGGCGACAAATATCGGCGGACCGTCTTCAGCCTATACGTAGGATTCGAATCGGTTTAAAAGTATTCTGGGATCGACACCGTCGTCCAAGTTTACGAACGACGATTCTTCGTTTTTGCTGTTCTTGCTTTCGAAATCCAATTCGTATTGAAAATCAGCGTCTACGTGCGTTCGCCAGTATTCGATCAACTTCATAAACTCCGCTTCCGTAGTGAATCGTTTTGTCAAATCAATGTCGGAAGGCGGCGCCGCGTCTTCGTCGTTTGTCCCGACGTCCTTGTCGCCGTCTACGGTTTTCGTGGGTTCTGACTTTACCGCGGTCGCGTCTTCGGACCGCGACGGATTCGTGGCGCGTCCTCGTTTTTCGGTTACCGGTATTTTTGCCGTCACCGTTTTACCTATTTTTATTTTGGACAAGTTTTCCAATTTATTCAAAAGCCGTTTATAATATTTCGGTAAATATTTGACTAATTCTTCCATGTTCTGAACTTGAAGAAATATGCGTTTGAAAAGTTCCGCTCGACCCTTCTCGTCGTACGGACCAGACACGTCATCAAGCACCGTCGTACACGAGTTGAAAAGAGTTCTATAATACGCATCGAGTTCCTCGTGTAGTCTCTCGTGACGCCTGTACTCGTCAGCGCCGATAAGCTCTTTGACGGTTTTAGACGGCGTGACGTTTTTTTCGGACTCCATCAAAAAGTTGTACGCGTTATACAAAAGTCGGTAATTAGTTTTTTCGGTAGCCAAACGATCGAGTATCGCGCTTTCGAATTTTTTGCGCACAGAGTCTGTGACTTTTTTACCATTGACTCGTTTCTTATAAAAGTCGTTTATCTTATCCAGATATTTTAACGACGGGTCAAACATTTCGATGATCGTCAACAGGTGTTGACACTGTGCGATTATATATTGTTTTATCGGCTTGTTCGCGTACATCATTTTTTGGACTACGAAAACTTTTAGATTTTTCGGCAAATCGGACGCTTCGATATTTTCTGCAAAAACCTTATCGTTCGACCCTTCGTCGATTTCACTGTTTAAAGTGTTGTCGTCGTCATCGCTGTAGTCGCCGTCGTCGCCGTAGTCACCGTCGAAGGTTTTCGACCGATCACGGAACGGCGTGTTGCTCGTATCCGCACCACCGTCGCCGCCGTCGTACTCGCCGTAAACATTTTCATCTCCCCCATCGTCTCTGTAATCGTCTACGTCGATGTCTTCGATTTCGTCGACATTGTCAAAATCATCGTCGTAGTAGGTCACGTTTTCTTTTTCGATCCGGTCGTCGTGTTGACCGCCAACGACGTTCGCCCTTGTCGAGCCAGGTTCCGGTTCGTCAGCGTAACCGCTAGTCGGCGCCGTATAGACGGTTTTCGGTACGGCGACGTTTGGCTCAAACGTTACGGCGTTTTCCGAGCCGTTGCCCGAGACCGACGCGATCGGCGGCGTGGCCCGAACAGAGTTGGTTGGCGGACCGTTTACGTTTACCGTACGTCCGGCGATGGAATCTATTTTCCAAAACTCGGGTTCCACGAGTTTATCCACTATCATCGTTTCTATATCGATAGTGCCGTCTTCTTGTTGATATTTTTTTATTTCCAACTCATTCGAGAAAAGTTGAACGTTGAACAGCGTTTCCGAGTGCATCGACTCTGCGTAATCCGACAACTTTTTGAACGTTTCCAACAAATGTAGCGTTTCCTTATCAGCGTTAATGTTTCTACTATCTACGGGTATCAGATCGTCTAAAAAACCCTTAACGGTGGTCATACTTGTCAACCGATCGTTGTCCAATTTCAGAAAAACTTATATGAGAATTATATTATAATATTAATCGTTTATATATGGCCGATTTAATTACATTATATGTGCCACACCCAAGTACTTATACTCATATTGGAAGTCCCTTTTTACCTTTTTATTATTAACATGACTTGTATTATTTATATATTACATACTGTTGAGGACAAATACTATTTGATCGGATTCAACTAAGTAAGTTTGTTGGTTTATTCAAAATCTTCCACCCCATCGACCAACCAGGGTATCTCCTTGTCTTCCAGCCTTGTCAATTTATCGTTACACAAAATATCGTTCGTCTCGAAATCTCGTATAGCGTAAATAAACAAGTTAGCCCACTGCTGAGAAACAAGGGGATAGCCCCGGTGCACCATCGCGGGAGTGATGGCGTATTCAAGAACCTTGTGACACAGACGGAGCAACAACCTAAACGTCGGTATCTCTATGTCGAACCGGCAACGTTTTTCGGCCATTGACACGTAGCAAGCGTAGATTATGGTCGCTTTTTTAAATTTATTTATAAAATTAGTAGAGTACCTCATCACTAACAACTCTGCTTCGAACCAATGTATCACGGTTTTATTTAGTTTCTCGAAAAATACTTCGGAATTAGTATTATTCAACCTGCTATATATTGAATCTGATTTTGCTACGTAATGTACGAGCCAATAAGATACCGCCATGAACAAATTGTCCATATAAATGCAAAGTTTAAGGGGCACGTCCGATTCCCGTTTGAAAAACGGCCCCAGTAAAGCGACCACGTCTAACTTGCTGAAAACGGCTCGATGTTTAATATGCGTTTCCGAGGGGGTTTTCGTTACATAATACATGACACTGGCCCGTTCGGCAGTTTCAATGTCGTCCGAGATATGTAAAGTCGTCATGGTTGTGAACCAAGCGTAAACGTTGTCACGGTTCGACATTAGAACGTTGAATGTTATGGGGAAAATTAAGCTGTGCAATTTCAGATCCGAAAAAAGACCGGCCGCTTCTAAAAATAATTCTTTTTCCGACTGATGGTGTGCGCGTAAAAAGCATATAATATTTTTTTTGAGGTGTTCAAGCGCTAAGGCCGGAATTTTTTTGCGGATCTCTGAAATTCGAAAAATGCACAATGATTTTAAAGATTTTTTTAAATATTTTTTTCGTCATTTCATTTTTTTCGACATTGAATATTTTGCGAATTTTAGATAAAAGGTGAGAAAGAAATTGTTTTTTCGTCGTCCGTGTCACCTTCGGATCATACCCTTTAATATCGTTGCTTTCTAACCGCCAATAACCCAAAGATAACAACTCGATCTCACCCTCCACCAGATCGTAATTATAATTCAAATATTTTCTCTTTTCAATAAGTCTCGTAACCAAGACCTGAAACTCTGACGAATACGTGAAAGGGACGTACCCGTAACAGAGCGAGTATTCCCTTATGTCTTTACAGTAGTTGGTTTCGATTTTTGTTATTTTTGGGTAATTGGAAACGTTTTTAGAATACTCGTATAGTTAGTTTATCTCCGATAGTCGACCGGTGGATCCTAACGTCGTCGCTCGCGTAACCCAGCTTATACAACAACTCTGTAATCGTAACGTACTTCCGATATTGTTTTTCGCAGCCATCGCCCCCCAATCCGACGATCCGGCTGTTGTAGTCGGCGATGTTCATAACGTCTTCGTTATACGGTTTAATAGCCGCCACGACGGCTCTCGACTCTTTAAAGTCGTCAAAACTCTTACCCCGTAAACGAAGCTTTTTTAAAACATCGGATCCTACGACTCCGGCGTGCTGAAATTTTACGGTTTTAGGTACAGGATGCGAGTCTTCGTCGGTTACGTGGTATCTCACGCAGGCGGCCAAATTATCGCGAAACCGGGCGACGCTACCGTCTAAAACCGGTACGGGCGTCTTTTCTCTCGACGGAACAACGTATACAACTTCCCTCCCACGCATCTTTCGATCACTCGGTTCGATGTCTTTCGCCTCAACACCAAAATCGTAATCGTCCGAATTGTCGCTGTCCGAAGACCGAGCTCCGGACTCGTCTTTTTTCACAAACGCTTCTTCTCCCCAGGTGAAACTGGCCCGTTCGGCAGTTTCAATGTCGTCCGAGATATGTAAAGTCGTCATGGTTGTGAACCAAGCGTAAACGTTGTCACGGTTCGACATTAGAACGTTGAATGTTATGGGGAAAATTAAGCTGTGCAATTTCAGATCCGAAAAAAGACCGGCCGCTTCTAAAAATAATTCTTTTTCCGACTGATGGTGTGCGCGTAAAAAGCATATAATATTTTTTTTGAGGTGTACAAGCGCTAAGGCCGGAATTTTTTTCGGATCTCTGAAATTCGAAAAATGCACAATGATTTTAAAGATTTTTTTAAATATTTTTTTCGTCATTTCATTTTTTTCGACATTGAATATTTTGCGAATTTTAGATAAAAGGTGAGAAAGAAATTGTTTTTTCGTCGTCCGTGTCACCTTCGGATCATACCCTTTAATATCGTTGCTTTCTAACCGCCAATAACCCAAAAATAACAACTCGATCTCACCCTCCACCAGATCGTAATTATAATTCAAATATTTTCTCTTTTCAATAAGTCTCGTAACCAAGACCTGAAACTCTGACGAATACGTGAAAGGGACGTACCCGTAACAGAGCGAGTATTCCCTTATGTCTTTACAGTAGTTGGTTTCGATTTTTGTTATTTTTGGGTAATTGGAAACGTTTTTAGAATACTCGTATAGTTAGTTTATCTCCGATAGTCGACCGGTGGATCCTAACGTCGTCGCTCGCGTAACCCAGCTTATACAACAACTCTGTAATCGTAACGTACTTCCGATATTGTTTTTCGCAGCCATCGCCCCCCAATCCGACGATCCGGCTGTTGTAGTCGGCGATGTTCATAACGTCTTCGTTATACGGTTTAATAGCCGCCACGACGGCTCTCGACTCTTTAAAGTCGTCAAAACTCTTACCCCGTAAACGAAGCTTTTTTAAAACATCGGATCCTACGACTCCGGCGTGCTGAAATTTTACGGTTTTAGGTACAGGATGCGAGTCTTCGTCGGTTACGTGGTATCTCACGCAGGCGGCCAAATTATCGCGAAACCGGGCGACGCTACCGTCTAAAACCGGTACGGGCGTCTTTTCTCTCGACGGAACAACGTATACAACTTCCCTCCCACGCATCTTTCGATCACTCGGTTCGATGTCTTTCGCCTCAACACCAAAATCGTAATCGTCCGAATTGTCGCTGTCCGAAGACCGAGCTCCGGACTCGTCTTTTTTCACAAACGCTTCTTCTCCCCAGGTGAAACTGGCCCGTTCGGCAGTTTCAATGTCGTCCGAGATATGTAAAGTCTTCATGGTTGTGAACCAAGCGTAAACGTTGTCACGGTTCGACAGTAGAACGTTGAATGTTATGGGGAAATAAGCTGTGCAATTTCAGATCCGAAAAAAGACCGGCCGCTTCTAAAAATAATTCTTTTTCCGACTGATGGTGTGCGCGTAAAAAGCATATAATATTTTTTTTGAGGTGTACAAGCGCTAAGGCCGGAATTTTTTTCGGATCTCCGAAATTCGAAAAATGCACAATGGTTTTAAAGATTTTTTTAAATATTTTTTTCGTCATTTCATTTTTTTCGACATTGAATATTTTGCGAATTTTAGATAAAACGTGAGAAAGAAATTGTTTTTTCGTCGTCCGTGTCGATGACACCGCCGCCGCCACCACCACCACCTCCCTCGTCGTCGTCATCACCACCACCACTACCACCAACACCGCCGCAAACACAATCACCGACGCGTACACGTGTACACGCGCACCGTACAACGCCCCAGTCGTCGCCATTGCCGCTGATAACACGTAAACAACAACCGCAAACGTGCGCCTCAACCGTGACGGCACCACGCTCAGGTTCGCGATCGCCGAACAAGGGAGAACCCATCCAGAAAGAGGCTGCGTCATCCTCGGACGAACACGAGTCCGACGACTACGATGGAGCGGACTCGCCGGCCAAACGACGTTTAGGGATTGATTGCGTTTCGTCCGTCTCGTCGGCATCGTCGTCAAACAACGAACAGCCGACATCGCTGTCTTTGGCGGAGAAGAAGAGAAACCAAATAAAAACGCAGCGTAAACTAAAAAATTCCGAAAAGATGCCATTGAACGTAATTATTATTGTCATTTTTTTCTGTTTATTTAAATACCGCAGTCTTATGTTTTTTTGTGTTTTATTAGGTGCAAAAAAATACACAGGTCTCACGAGCGACGACGATTACGACGATGGCGACGAGGATGATCGCTCCCGCATATCGAGCGGTACCCCGACAATACAATTTGCCAAAAAATCTAGTGGTGCGTACACAAGAGTGGTGGTTGAATTGAATGCATAAAATTATTATTATTATTAATTATTATGTTTTTTTGTGTTTTATTAGGTGCAAAAAAATGCACAGGTCTCACGAGCGACGACGATGACGATGTCGACGAGGACGATCGCTCCCGCATATCGAGCGGTACCCCGACAATACAATTTGCCAAAAAATCTAGTGGTGCGTACACAAGAGTGATGGTTGAATTGAATGCATAAAATTGTTATTATTATTATTATTAATTATTATGTTTTTTTTAAACAGTCGCGCCGTCGAAAAAAACTAACCGAAGACCACGACGATCGTTGAAAAAAACCATTGCTTCGCCCAAGCAACATTCGCCCACGACCGAGGTCCAACGTGACGACGTCGACGAAGATCAGCAAGCTGGCCTCGATACGACCATGAACATGACGAGCGGCACAGACACGATCCGGTTCAAACGCGACGACGACGTCGACGAAGATCAGCAAACTGACCTCGATACGACCATGAACATGACGAGCGTCACAGACACGATCCGGTTCAAACGCGACGGTGACAAGGGTTCCGGCAACGACAGCAGCGACGACGACGACCACGACGATGACGGAGAAAAATCGGCTGTAAATAGTGGTAAAACTAGTAATAAGGTTAGGTCAGAAAAACCGTTGACCTGGGGAGAAGAAGCGTTTGTGAAAAAAAGACGAGTCCGCACTGAAAAAAATCGGAGTGGTTTTGTCAACAAAATTGATCTGTTAAATGATAAATTGTTGCAATAACCCTAATACCGTAATACAAGCTATAGTATTTTTTACATCCAACCAAACGTTTTGTTACAAGTATTAATTTATTCTTGTTATTTAGTGTTATGTTGTATACACTAATTACTATGTAATAGTAATGATATATTTTGCATCTACTGCAAGAATGAAATTCTAACGGTTTATAATGTTTCTCCAAGTATAAAAATTTAAACGCAGCAAGAATTAAACGGTGCTCGCAAACAAATAGTATTTTAGTCCTTGCAAGTAGTGTTTGTTAAGTAAAACTAAAATGTATTGTTACAGGCAGCCAAAAAGTTTTGTTACAATTATTTGTTGTGTTGTAACTACAACAGATATTTGTGATATTACTGTAATCTCAACAACTATTTAGTAAAGTATACAATATCCACAATTAGAGTAGCGATAACGGTATAATATTATGGGAATTCCAGGATGCGTGCGATACACGTGTCACACACACACACTTATATCCATTCCGCATTTCCACAGTCCGCCGCCGAAATCGTTTGTAGCTTTGCTTATTCGTATCTAATTGTATTTCGAAACTGTTGTCTTTTACAGTTTTACTCTTTCAGTTTTTGGTTTTTATACGTTATTATTTAGTGCATTTACTAGTTACTATACTTGTGACTTGTCTATAGTCTATATAGTGTTACATCTTTCATTATAAATACATAGTCAATATTTAAGATCTAAGTATGGCAGACGAAGATGTCGTGGATTTTCTAAATGCTTGGGATCTCTCACAATATATTCAAATATTTCGAGGTGAGTCTCAAAACATTTAAAACTACCTATGTACGTACCTTTTATTTAAATTATACCTACCTAGCTTAAGTAGACATTTACAGACAAAACTATACCTACATTTTTTGCGTTGTTACAATTGTAACAATTAAATAAACATTAATGCCATGGACTCTGACGAGATAGGCATCTATTTGAACTTAAAAATGTTATTTTTTTCTTCATCAGGCCCTGTAGTCTTACCAAAAGTCAAACATTTTTAATATTTTACCAGCCTATTAAAATCTAGTGGGGGCCCTCAAATAATGCCACAGTTTTTTCATATAAGTTTATTAGAAATATACCTTAAAAACAATACAATAGGTATTTTCTGATATTATTTGATTTCAAATTTAACTTTGATATGTTTATATTGTAATATATTTTTCTCATATTTTTTACATCTTTTCCATATTTATTAAAAAATATGTTTAATTCACTAAATCTTTTTTGAAGCGTATTATGTTTTTTTTGAACATATAGGTAAGATCATATTTTAAGAAACTAAAAATCCGCTCTCTATTCATAACCAATTTGTAATTCATACTTACTAATACTTAACCTTTAATTTAAATGTTAATGTTGTTCTACTGATGGATGAACTGAATTTAGTTATTTATTTATTTATTATGTTATTTTATAGAAAATGAAATAGATATTAAGACATTAGGATTGCTAAGTGATGATATGATAAGAGAGTTGGTACCCATTATTGGTCATCGAGCTAAATTGAAAACTAATATTGATCAATGGAGATTAATTATACAAGGAATGACAGGATCCTCAGAAATTAATGTAAAGTCCAATATAAGTCTAATTATTATTTGTTTGTGTATAATGTATCATGATATACCTATGTGTATCATATATTTTTATTTTAAAGTACTTACCTATTTAGTTATTTGAATATTATTTAATTTCACAATAGATATATCACTAAAAAATATATAATTAAACTTATTTTTTTTTCTTTTCTTAATCATTTTATTTTTATTTAGTTTGAAACAGAGCTAAATCAAAATTCAAGTGAAGAACATACCAACTTAAAGGTAAATTAAAATAATTTCATACCTCTGTATTAAAATATATTCTTTTAAAGTAAAATTTGAATTTAGCCTACACTAACGTCAACTACTTTGTCAGCTGAGAATCATATTTTAATAAATCTGGACGATTTGGGAGTAGTGCAACAAAGTGAACAACAGTCTAAAGAAGTACCAAGTTCACTGCAATCACCAACAAATGTAAATACATTAAACATTTTACATTTTATTTCAACGTTTGTTATAATATTATTTATTAACACAGGCTGTTTCCTATATAATATGTGATCATAAAAATATAAAATAACCAATAAAGTTAGGGGAAGGGAAAGTGCGTCACTAAAAAAAGTTCAACTTATATTATGTTTTCAAGCTTAAATTGTAGGTTTATGATCTCGCTATAAGTATCATATTTTTACATTATCATGCAATATTATCGTACAATATTTAAGTTATGTCTGCTACAATATAACTACCTATCTGTTATTATACTTATATATTTAAATGAAGTAGGTATTTACCCCAATGACGCACTAACCCCATCTAACCCTACATACTGATTTACAATTATTTTATTTTTAGGAGATACTTTAAAACCATTTTAATCTTTTTTTTTAAATTGTTGATACCTACTAAGTAATATATGATTTTAATTAGGATGATGTACACAACTTGCTCAAAAGTACAAACGAAGGGAAGTCATTATTAGCTAGTTTTGGACAAAGTGGACTACTAGATAGTGTAGGCCGTAGACGTCTCTGTAATCTTATTATAAATAGAGAACTTAAAGATGATGCACAGAAGCGTGTTTTATCTACAAGACTTCAAGACCTGGCCTATCAAATAACCTCAGTTTTTCACCAAGAGCGTACACCCACCTACTTTATTCCTTATATTTCATACGGTCCTGGACTGAAAAGATCGGCCAAAGGAAAACTACTAGACTGTCTAAATAACAGGAGAAGAGAATATCGAAAGTCTGGGTTAATACAAACATCAAGAAGAAGTTCGACATCCTCTTCTTCTAGTAGTTCTTTTTCCTTGTCAAAAGGACTCCAACACTCTGTTGAGGAGGAAGATGAAGAATTACATTCATCTGTAGAGGAAGGGTTGAAATGGTTACAAAATTCCAGTGACCCATGGGAATTAGTGGAAAAGAATTGGGATATAACCACTAATGTACGCTTAAAGAAGCTGATGTCAAAAAATGGTCAGTCGATTGCAAAGTATATGGAAGAATATCCAGCTCTTAAGAAACCATCAGGCTATTTACTTGTAAGTTTAATTGAAGCCATGATTATAAAATCAATAAAAAAAAAACTTATTTAATTAACTTTACTTATTTTTTTTTTACAGATTTTAAAAGATTTCCAAGTGTCTTATCCAGGCAAAGAAAATAAATTGTATCAAAACCTGATCATTTACAAAAATAATATTTTTGAGTTGCTTAGAGCTAAAGTGAATAAAACAAGAGATGAAACTGTGAATAATATTTTGAACAAATATATAAAACTATATCTTGAAGGTTAGTTGAGATTATTTTTTTAAATTTTTTACTATACATACTACGCAAAAATTGGTTGGACCACAAAATTCTATATTGATACTCAATACTCATTTTATTTCTCTTATATTTGTTGAAGCCAACTGTGGATCTAAATCATATTTAAGGGTGAGGGGGCCACAAACTGTATGGGCATATCACATGTGCTTATAAGGCTGCAACTGATAACATGTTAACATGGTTACTATTATAATGAATTATGTAGATATTTTTATTCATGTACTGTACCTATGTAAAATAGTAGGTACGAGGTACCTACAAATTAACCTCTTAAAATATAAATGCATTTAATTTACTAGGTACCAAATGGTTCTTAGCCAACTATTCCAATTTATTTATTGCCAATTTAGTTTAAGTTACAATTTTTAAAACTTTCTTATTATAATCAAATGGTTTCAAGGCTATTATTTTAGATTTAAAAGATTATAATAGTACATATTATTTAGAAATAAAATATTCAATTTCAAATAGGCTAATTATTAATAAAACATATTAACCTAACCACAATTGTATAGTGAAACAAAGTTATATTAGTATATTGAATAAAATAAAAAAGTATTGTCCATATCTATTACAAATTTATGAAAAGCTTTTTTTTTTATTTATTATGTTAATAATCTTGTCTATTTTGTTAATTTTTAGAAAACGAGGAAATCTCTAATATTATCACACTTTTAAGTCTCTCATTCCTCATAAGTGTTTCCAGCACAAGAAGCAAGAAGTCAAAAATTTGGAGACCTTCAAAAATCGAAGTGAGGGATGGTTTTATAACTCACGTGCGTAGTGATTCTGAAATCCAAGAAACTATTACAAGAAAAGGAAGCAAGTTGATTGAATTTGGCCAGACATTACAACCCTTTGTTATTATAGTTGGTCACAGTTTAAAAGAAATTTCATCATATTTGGTTGTTGTGGATAACACATTCTACCGATTAAACTCTATAATAGCATCTGTAGACTGCTGCTTCAAAATATTTTTAACTCTTAATGCTGAATATCCTGTTGAATCATCGGGAATTTGGTATTTAATTCAAAGAGGTTTATACAATTTAAAAACACCATGGGACAAAAATTACACAGCTGTGAACGCATTCATGTCAGATGTTGGTATTCGTCACACCGAAGATGAATAATATTTCTTCAAGTAAATTTTAGTAAACTATCTAGTAGATAAGAATTTTAATTGCTTTTATTTGTATTTGATACATATTTATATAAAATGGTGACTTGTTTTTTATGTAATCAGACATTTGATAGTATTAAAATTTTATTTAATCATTTCAATTTTTTTCATCCTGAACAGAAATTTGATTCTTATTTTTGTGCTGAAAATAATTGTTCTAGGTCTTTTTCTTTGAAGAATTCCTTTCGTAAACATTTGCTAAAGCATACGTATGAATCACAACCCTGTACTGCTCCACAGCTTAATGATACAAATTCATTTATAGATGCAATTACCAACACTAATGTAATAACTGAAGTTGGTTATACACATAGTAATAGTGAATTTAATGGTAATTGTAAAGACAATTTAACTATTGATCCAGTTGAATTATTAAACCATTCGATAAGTTGTTTTCTTGCATCTTTATATGCTAACCCTATAATTCCAAGAAATGCTGTTCAAGTTGTGGTCGATGGCCTGGAGAAAGTTATCGTAGAAGGATTTTCTGCATACATTGAAAATTATATTAAAAAGATGTTGTCCGAAAAAAAAATATCTAGTGAATGTTTTACTGTTGTTGATAATATTACAAGTGTTATTAAAAATGCATTAGGTAATTTTAAAACTGAGCATAAAAGGTTTAATTTTTTTGCTGAGAAAGGTACTTATATAGAACCTAAGGAAGTTGTAATTGGACAACGTTTAAACAAGATTATAAAGAATGGTGTCTCTATTCTTGAACCAATCAACTGTTCACAACAATTTATACCATTAAGCAAAGTGTTGAAACAATTTTTTTCACTTGAAAATATTCTTGGTGAAACTTTAGAAAACATGACGAATTTAATGAGTAACAAAAGTGTCTTAGGGAATTTTATTCAAGGTACTTTTTGGCAGAGTAGAATTAAGAAATTTGAAGGAAAGACTGTCTTGCCACTATTTTTATTTTTTGATGATTTTGAGAGTGGAAATGTTCTCGGTAGTCATTCCGGAATTCACAAGTTAGGAGCAGTTTATGTATCTCTTCCATGCATACCATTACACCGTTCTTCAATGTTGTCTAATATTTTTCTTACATTACTTTTTCATTCTTCTGATAGAGTAGAGTTTGGAAATAACGTAATTTTTAAACCTGTGATTGACGAATTAAACTTTTTGCAAAATGTTGGTATAGAAATTGATACTTCAGTATTTAAAGGTACATTATACTTTGACTTAGGTCTAATTTTAGGAAACAACTTAGGGCTTCATTCCATTATTGGTTTTGTAGAAAGTTTTTCTTCTAATTTTCCTTGTCGAATTTGCAATATAAGAAAAGAAAACTTGAGAGTTCAATGCTATGAAGATGAATCTCTCCTCAGAACAATTGACCAGTATTATATTCATTTAAATGAGAATAATGTAAGTACTACTGGAATTAAAGAAAAGTGTGTTTGGTTAGATGTCAACAATTTTAGTCTATATGATCAAGTCGGAGTTGATGTAATGCACGATGTACTTGAAGGTTGTGCCAAGTATATAATGGGTTTTATTATATACTACTATATTAATGAATTGAAACTATTTTCCCTACAAGTGTTCAATGAAAGGCTTTTTGGTTTTGATTTTGGACCTGAGCGTAATAAACCTTGTGCTTTAACTATGGAACATGTTAGTCAAGGGAATGTTCGTCAATCTGCTTCTGAAATGCTAATATTAATTAGGTATTTTGGTTTAATTATTGGTGATTTTATACCTGCAGAAGAACCAGTATGGGCCCTGTATATACTCTTGCGCAAAGTTATAGATATTATGTTGTCATCACTAGTTGAAGAACAAAGTACTTTCTTACTAAAAACTTTAGTTGAAGAATTAAACGAGCTTTATTTGAAATATAGTAAAAAATCTCTTAAACCTAAATTTCATTTTTTACTTCATTACCCATCACTGATTAAAAAATTTGGTCCTGTAGGTAATTTTTGGTCTATGCGTTTTGAAGCCAAACATAGGATCTCTAAAATTGCGGCTAGATCATCTTTCAATCGACGTAATATATGCTTAACTTTAGCAATCAAACATCAGTTACAGCTAAATGATATATTTGGCAAGGGTAAATTATGTTCAAATGTAGTTGTAGGTCCTTGTAAGTCATTATGTCCAATGAAATCTCATGCAATAAAAAACGAACTCAATCTTGATCTTGATAAATCTTTATTTTGTGTTAGTTGGGCAACAATTGAAGGTATACGTTATAAAATAAAACATATATTAACCCAAGATATTTTGGAAGATAATAATTATAAATTTGTTTCTGTGAACAATATTTTTCTTTATGATTCTAATAGAATAATTTTTGAATGCAATTCTCTTTTAATGGTAGGATTTAATGAACATGTATATTCATATGAAGTGATATTTCCAGAAACAAATAATAATTGTTTCATTTTTCAAGATTCCCTGGTATCTCCTATCCCAAATAATTTAAATGTTACTCCAGATGGAACCAAATTTGTAACTGTAAGAAGCCCTTTGTAATTTAAACTTATACATGAAACTATTTTAGTTTTAATCATAAATTATTAAAATATAATAAATTGATTATGTAATTTGTAAACATTTATTTGTATCAATAAAATTTAATTCTTATCAAAATAATGGTGTTGAATTTTTGCAAAAATGTAATTCTGTAAATTGTATGTTTAGCGCACATTGGTGTGAAATATTAGGTGGTGCTAATTTTACTATTTTACTTATAGTTCATATTATGATGTATCCAAACCAATAAACCTCAGTAATTTACAAATTATTGGTGAAATAAATTAATTAGAAAAATTGGTGGTAAAAATCTGGAGGAGCCTGGGGGTACTAAGCCCCCCCAATCACCTCCTATGAGCAGCTATGATATTCAGTAACTATAACCAAAAAATACAATATATTTTGCACAAGTAGCGGTTCTGTTTGGTTATTTTAACAAACTAATTATGGTTAGCCTAACCTAGTGCGCTATGAATTTAACAAATTAATTATGGTTGGCCTAACCTAGTGCTCTATGAATTTAACATAAGAATCTTGTAATCATACAAAAATAGTTAGCTACTTCTAAGACACAAGAAATGTTCTCTTAACAATAATAGAACATAAAATTTGCTAGGTTTAAAAAAATATTCTGATCTACCAACAAACATTGTAATATTTTCTGTTATGATTACATAATGGTATTTTGTTGAGAGTATATAATTGCTGTATGCATTCCAAATAAAGTTTAGTTACAACAACAAACAATATTACTGTTACAACTAGTAACAGCCAACCAGAATTGATTTGTACATACAACTAAAATTACTGCTGTAACTGAGCCAGCTACTTTTAACAGTTATGGTAACCATATTTTTGTTAGTAGAACAATTTTTTTTTTTCAGTGCGGAGCTCGGTCTTCGGACAGCGACAATTCGGACGATTACGATTTTGGTGTTGAGGCGAAAGACATCGAACCGAGTGATCGAAAGATGCGTGGGAGGGAAGTTGTATACGTTGTTCCGTCGAGAGAAAAGACGCCCGTACCGGTTTTAGACGGTAGCGTCGCCCGGTTTCGCGATAATTTGGCCGCCTGCGTGAGATACCACGTAACCGACGAAGACTCGCATCCTGTACCTAAAACCGTAAAATTTCAGCACGCCGGAGTCGTAGGATCCGATGTTTTAAAAAAGCTTCGTTTACGGGGTAAGAGTTTTGACGACTTTAAAGAGTCGAGAGCCGTCGTGGCGGCTATTAAACCGTATAACGAAGACGTTATGAACATCGCCGACTACAACAGCCGGATCGTCGGATTGGGGGGCGATGGCTGCGAAAAACAATATCGGAAGTACGTTACGATTACAGAGTTGTTGTATAAGCTGGGTTACGCAGGCGACGACGTTAGGATCCACCGGTCGACTATCGGAGATAAACTATACGAGTATTCTAAAAACGTTTCCAATTACCCAAAAATAACAAAAATCGAAACCAACTACTGTAAAGACATAAGGGAATACTCGCTCTGTTACGGGTACGTCCCTTTCACGTATTCGTCAGAGTTTCAGGTCTTGGTTACGAGACTTATTGAAAAGAGAAAATATTTGAATTATAATTACGATCTGGTGGAGGGTGAGATCGAGTTGTTATTTTTGGGTTATTGGCGGTTAGAAAGCAACGATATTAAAGGGTATGATCCGAAGGTGACACGGACGACGAAAAAACAATTTCTTTCTCACGTTTTATCTAAAATTCGCAAAATATTCAATGTCGAAAAAAATGAAATGACGAAAAAAATATTTAAAAAAATCTTTAAAATCATTGTGCATTTTTCGAATTTCGGAGATCCGCAAAAAAATTCCGGCCTTAGCGCTTGAACACCTCAAAAAAAATATTATATGCTTTTTACGCGCACACCATCAGTCGGAAAAAGAATTATTTTTAGAAGCGGCCGGTCTTTTTTCGGATATGAAATTGAACAGCTTAATTTTCCCCATAACATTCAACGTTCTAATGTCGAACCGTGACAACGTTTACGCTTGGTTCACAACCATGACGACTTTACATATCTCGGACGACATTGAAACTGCCGAACGGGCCAGTGTCATGTATTATGTAACGAAAACCCCCTCGGAAACGCATATTAAACATCGAGCCGTTTTCAGCAAGTTAGACGTGGTCGCTTTACTGGGGCCGTTTTTCAAACGGGAATCGGACGTGCCCCTTAAACTTTCCATTTATATGGACAATTTGTTCATGGCGGTATCTTATTGGCTCGCACATTACGTAGCAAAATCAGATTTAATATATAGCAGGTTGAATAATACTAATTCCGAAGTATTTTTCGAGAAACTAAATAAAACCGTGATACATTGGTTCGAAGCAGAGTTGTTAGAGATGACGTCGTCGACGAAGATCAGCAAGCTGGCCTCGATACGACCATGAACATGACGAGCGGCACAGACACGATCCGGTTCAAACGCGACGACGACGTCGACGAAGATCAGCAAACTGACCTCGATACGACCATGAACATGACGACCGGCACAGACACGATCCGGTTCAAACGCGACGGTGACAAGGGTTCCGGCAACAACAGAAAGCGACGACGACGACCACGACGATGACGGAGAAAAATCGGCTGTAAATAGTGGTAAAACTAGTAATAAGGTTAGGTCAGAAAAACCGTTGACCTGGGGAGAAGAAGCGTTTGTGAAAAAAGACGAGTCCGGAGCTCGGTCTTCGGACAGCGACAATTCGGACGATTACGATTTTGGTGTTGAGGCGAAAGACATCGAACCGAGTGATCGAAAGATGCGTGGGAGGGAAGTTGTATACGTTGTTCCGTCGAGAGAAAAGACGCCCGTACCGGTTTTAGACGGTAGCGTCGCCCGGTTTCGCGATAATTTGGCCCCCTGCGTGAGATACCACGTAACCGACGAAGACTCGCATCCTGTACCTAAAACCGTAAAATTTCAGCACGCCGGAGTCGTAGGATCCGATGTTTTAAAAAAGCTTCGTTTACGGGGTAAGAGTTTTGACGACTTTAAAGAGTCGAGAGCCGTCGTGGCGGCTATTAAACCGTATAACGAAGACGTTATGAACATCGCCGACTACAACAGCCGGATCGTCGGATTGGGGGGCGATGGCTGCGAAAAACAATATCGGAAGTACGTTACGATTACAGAGTTGTTGTATAAGCTGGGTTACGCGAGCGACGACGTTAGGATCCACCGGTCGACTATCGGAGATAAACTATACGAGTATTCTAAAAACGTTTCCAATTACCCAAAAATAACAAAAATCGAAACCAACTACTGTAAAGACATAACGGAATACTCGCTCTGTTACGGGTACGTCCTTTTCACGTATTCGTCAGAGTTTCAGGTCTTGGTTACGAGACTTATTGAAAAGAGAAAATATTTGAATTATAATTACGATCTGGTGGAGGGTGAGATCGAGTTGTTATTTTTGGGTTGTTGGCGGTTAGAAAACAATGGTATTAAAGGGTATGATCCGAAGGTGACACGGACGACGAAAAAACAATTTCTTTCTCACGTTTTATCTAAAATTCGCAAAATATTCAATGTCGAAAAAAATGAAATGACGAAAAAAATATTTAAAAAAATCTTTAAAATCATTGTGCATTTTTCGAATTTCGGAGATCCGAAAAAAATTCCGGCCTTAGCGCTTGTACACCTCAAAAAAAATATTATATGCTTTTTACGCGCACACCATCAGTCGGAAAAAGAATTATTTTTAGAAGCGGCCGGTCTTTTTTCGGATCTGAAATTGCACAGCTTAATTTTCCCCATAACATTCAACGTTCTAATGTCGAACCGTGACAACGTTTACGCTTGGTTCACAACCATGACGACTTTACATATCTCGGACGACATTGAAACTGCCGAACGGGCCAGTGTCATGTATTATGTAACGAAAACCCCCTCGGAAACGCATATTAAACATCGAGCCGTTTTCAGCAAGTTAGACGTGGTCGCTTTACTGGGGCCGTTTTTCAAACGGGAATCGGACGTGCCCCTTAAACTTTGCATTTATATGGACAATTTGTTCATGGCGGTATCTTATTGGCTCGCACATTACGTAGCAAAATCAGATTTAATATATAGCAGGTTGAATAATACTAATTCCGAAGTATTTTTCGAGAAACTAAATAAAACCGTGATACATTGGTTCGAAGCAGAGTTGTTAGAGATGACGTCGTCGACGAAGATCAGCAAGCTGGCCTCGATACGACCATGAACATGACGAGCGGCACAGACACGATCCGGTTCAAACGCGACGACGACGTCGACGAAGATCAGCAAACTGACCTCGATACGACCATGAACATGACGACCGGCACAGACACGATCCGGTTCAAACGCGACGGTGACAAGGGTTCCGGCAACAACAGAAAGCGACGACGACGACCACGACGATGACGGAGAAAAATCGGCTGTAAATAGTGGTAAAACTAGTAATAAGGTTAGGTCAGAAAAACCGTTGACCTGGGGAGAAGAAGCGTTTGTGAAAAAAGACGAGTCCGGAGCTCGGTCTTCGGACAGCGACAATTCGGACGATTACGATTTTGGTGTTGAGGCGAAAGACATCGAACCGAGTGATCGAAAGATGCGTGGGAGGGAAGTTGTATACGTTGTTCCGTCGAGAGAAAAGACGCCCGTACCGGTTTTAGACGGTAGCGTCGCCCGGTTTCGCGATAATTTGGCCCCCTGCGTGAGATACCACGTAACCGACGAAGACTCGCATCCTGTACCTAAAACCGTAAAATTTCAGCACGCCGGAGTCGTAGGATCCGATGTTTTAAAAAAGCTTCGTTTACGGGGTAAGAGTTTTGACGACTTTAAAGAGTCGAGAGCCGTCGTGGCGGCTATTAAACCGTATAACGAAGACGTTATGAACATCGCCGACTACAACAGCCGGATCGTCGGATTGGGGGGCGATGGCTGCGAAAAACAATATCGGAAGTACGTTACGATTACAGAGTTGTTGTATAAGCTGGGTTACGCGAGCGACGACGTTAGGATCCACCGGTCGACTATCGGAGATAAACTATACGAGTATTCTAAAAACGTTTCCAATTACCCAAAAATAACAAAAATCGAAACCAACTACTGTAAAGACATAACGGAATACTCGCTCTGTTACGGGTACGTCCTTTTCACGTATTCGTCAGAGTTTCAGGTCTTGGTTACGAGACTTATTGAAAAGAGAAAATATTTGAATTATAATTACGATCTGGTGGAGGGTGAGATCGAGTTGTTATTTTTGGGTTGTTGGCGGTTAGAAAACAATGGTATTAAAGGGTATGATCCGAAGGTGACACGGACGACGAAAAAACAATTTCTTTCTCACGTTTTATCTAAAATTCGCAAAATATTCAATGTCGAAAAAAATGAAATGACGAAAAAAATATTTAAAAAAATCTTTAAAATCATTGTGCATTTTTCGAATTTCGGAGATCCGAAAAAAATTCCGGCCTTAGCGCTTGTACACCTCAAAAAAAATATTATATGCTTTTTACGCGCACACCATCAGTCGGAAAAAGAATTATTTTTAGAAGCGGCCGGTCTTTTTTCGGATCTGAAATTGCACAGCTTAATTTTCCCCATAACATTCAACGTTCTAATGTCGAACCGTGACAACGTTTACGCTTGGTTCACAACCATGACGACTTTACATATCTCGGACGACATTGAAACTGCCGAACGGGCCAGTGTCATGTATTATGTAACGAAAACCCCCTCGGAAACGCATATTAAACATCGAGCCGTTTTCAGCAAGTTAGACGTGGTCGCTTTACTGGGGCCGTTTTTCAAACGGGAATCGGACGTGCCCCTTAAACTTTGCATTTATATGGACAATTTGTTCATGGCGGTATCTTATTGGCTCGCACATTACGTAGCAAAATCAGATTTAATATATAGCAGGTTGAATAATACTAATTCCGAAGTATTTTTCGAGAAACTAAATAAAACCGTGATACATTGGTTCGAAGCAGAGTTGTTAGAGATGACGTCGTCGACGAAGATCAGCAAGCTGGCCTCGATACGACCATGAACATGACGAGCGGCACAGACACGATCCGGTTCAAACGCGACGACGACGTCGACGAAGATCAGCAAACTGACCTCGATACGACCATGAACATGACGACCGGCACAGACACGATCCGGTTCAAACGCGACGGTGACAAGGGTTCCGGCAACAACAGAAAGCGACGACGACGACCACGACGATGACGGAGAAAAATCGGCTGTAAATAGTGGTAAAACTAGTAATAAGGTTAGGTCAGAAAAACCGTTGACCTGGGGAGAAGAAGCGTTTGTGAAAAAAGACGAGTCCGGAGCTCGGTCTTCGGACAGCGACAATTCGGACGATTACGATTTTGGTGTTGAGGCGAAAGACATCGAACCGAGTGATCGAAAGATGCGTGGGAGGGAAGTTGTATACGTTGTTCCGTCGAGAGAAAAGACGCCCGTACCAGTTTTAGACGGTAGCGTCGCCCGGTTTCGCGATAATTTGGCCCCCTGCGTGAGATACCACGTAACCGACGAAGACTCGCATCCTGTACCTAAAACCGTAAAATTTCAGCACGCCGGAGTCGTAGGATCCGATGTTTTAAAAAAGCTTCGTTTACGGGGTAAGAGTTTTGACGACTTTAAAGAGTCGAGAGCCGTCGTGGCGGCTATTAAACCGTATAACGAAGACGTTATGAACATCGCCGACTACAACAGCCGGATCGTCGGATTGGGGAGCGATGGCTGCGAAAAACAATATCGGAAGTACGTTACGATTACAGAGTTGTTGTATAAGCTGGGTTACGCGAGCGACGACGTTAGGATCCACCGGTCGA